TTCAATCAAAAGCTTTCTAAGCGTGCGTGTCTTCCAGTGCTAATATTAAAGTGTCACTTTAAGAATTAAAATAAATTATGTTTCAGGATTCGGTTTCGATAGCGTTTTATTATGTTTACTTTTTTAAAGTTACACGGCACCTCCCTTGATATGCTTTTGTTAAAAATATAGCAACAATGGCACTCGGTACTCTTTGCCTACTCCGTAAGCTCGGCGTATTTCGTTGACTGACTCTGTGAATAGCATGCCAATTGTCACGCGACATCACGAGGTATCAATTTATTTTCGCATCCACAGCTCATTTTAATTCATACCAATTTGGAGCGTAGCAATAAAATCGTTTAAGTTATGACGTTATGAACAGTAAACAGCTGAAATGTCAAGTGAAAGTCAGAATTTATAACTCCACCCCTTTGAATACTTTGGTTATTTATGAACAAAATCACAGTTAGAAAGAAAACGGGAAAATGGAAGAATGCCATTGTTATAGTCCGTTCAAACAGTTCAAAAATTTTTAGTTCATATTCTTTATAGTTGACCTTGCTTTATTGCTATTCTAGTGATTGAAACTTCTTTGTTATTATCAAGGAAATAAATGAATTTAAAATCATATTTCAAAGTCATAATATTAAACGGAATATAATTGTTTGACTAGACTCATCAATAAAAAATAAGAATATCATATCTAGTATTAATGACTATTCTTATAAAGATTAAATTTATCTATTATAAATATAACACAGCGCTGTCACAGTATTAGAGATTCCAGCAAATAAAACCTTTTATTATACTTGATCAATTTTGCATTTAAAATGCTATACTGGAAAATATTATTAATGAAAACACACTTTGTCCTTGGTACTCTGAGATGGGATTCGAAGCCACAACCTCTCGTAATCCGGGCAACTGCTTGAACCACTGAGCTGCCCAGGACCTAACAGCAGTGACGAATTTTTCAAGCAGTTGTTACTTTTTCGCACTACACAGCGTATTTTCATCAATGTTCAGGCAATCCACCCAAATAACCGTAACAAATCTGGACCTGAAAAGCATTAGGTCGGATGTCGGGAATCTTAGGCATAACTGTATAAAAACAGAAATAGCTAAATGCAATCAAAATATTTGAAAAAGTCGTCTGATCCGACTTTATGCATAACTGTTGCTCATGAGTAAAAAGGCACAAACATACAAGAGTTAATTTGCCGGTAAGAGAAAAAAGAGTGTAGCAACGTTATGGCGAAAAGTGATTTTAGCTGGTTCTGCACATCCGACCTAATGCTTTTCAGGTCCAGAAATATTTTTACAAATATTTTAAGCTTTCGATAAAGATCGATAGTATAAAGTTTGTTGCGTTGCGTATTTTGTTGTATAATACGAATTAATAATATATAATAATAAGTGATGACACAGCTGAGATAGGTCATGGCTGCTTGTCCTAGATTTGGGACAGTGACCTCGAGGGCCGCGATCCGACCTCCATTAGACGTGAACGCGCGAGGAAAATACATATTCTTGAATTTGTCGCAGGAAGCGACCGTGCGAATCTAACGAAAGTGTGTCAAGTATAAAAGATGCAAACACTAGGTGCATCTATTTTCGAACTTAAGAGCTTCAGCTTTCACAATTCTATCGGAATCTTTAGCTATTATATCGTCACTTACATGTAATTAAAAAAGAATAAATTTGAAAACACAAGGGTCGTCTCTGTTTACGTCTACGTGTACCTTAATTTTAGTGAGTTATTATTAGCAAGGTCTATTAGGCTTAACAATTACTTAATAAATACTAATCATGAGCTTTACCAAAATTGCTACTTTTAAATCTAATTATTTTTTTAAATCTTATATTTGAATTAAAGTATTAACAGTGTTTTATCGAATGAGTATTATTTTTGCACTATAATTATTAATTGCAAAATATTTAATTATCATTCTAAGTATGTAATTATATATTGTCTAAATTAATTTCGAACTACTGAATCTCTGAAACTTATTGTTTTATAAGAAAATAGCTGTTTTCCTGCGACTTTGCCCGCCTCAATTATAGCCTATGTCACCCGCGTATCTTCCCGCAGGTGAAATAATTAAAAAAAAAACAAACAAACTACCAAATCTCTCCTTTTTTATTATGTTGTACATATAACTATTAGTATATATTATGTACAATTACTTTACAACAAAAAAGTGCAAAAAATTCTAACATATTCCGGATTCCCTCCATTACAGTGCCTAAACTATGAGTTAGAACTAGTCCATAGTATTTTTAATGAATTCAAACCATATAAATAGATTAAATAGCTCCAAACACGCTATTTCAAGTCAGTGGTGTAACATCATGGCGTGTTGCCTTTTTTTACTTGGTCTTTAACGCTAATTTTCCACGAGCCGGTTTCGTAACTTATGTAGGTACATACAATGTTTCGTTAACGAGTTTGTTATTTTAATTTACATTCACCGGGTATGTGATATAGAATAATAAAAAGTGTTTAACCATTGATTGAAATTTAGAAAATATTTATAATTGATATAATACAGTATATCAATAATAGAACAGTTTAAAATCAGAGACGGTACTCGTGCCAAATTTTTATGCACGATGACGCTGGAAGATTCAGCTTATAAAAATAACAGGAAAAGGAATAACACCATTAAAGCCATGTGCAGAATAGATTGAAAATACTTATTAAACTCTGTTTTCTATGCAGTATCTTTTTAACCGACTAGATTAATGAAAATGCAAAAAAGATTGAAGTTCTCAATTTGCACGTTATTAATTTTGGTATGATTATAGTATCTACGCTATATTTTTGCCAATCGTGAACCATTTTAATAAATCTTTGATATAATAACCAGTTATTATATCAAAGATTTATAAATTTTATGGAAAAATATAATGGGTTGCATTTTGTATTTATTCATTCGTCGTTCATACACACATTCATACAAGCATATGTAGTTGTAACGGTAATATCGAGATAATGTCATGTTAGAGTCTAACAGTTATTAATATAGTATGCGTAGACTCAGTTAAGAAAATCCTTTTCATTCGAAGGAGATAGAAAGAATATCTTTTTTATACACAATATGGCATACAAAATTAATAAAATTGTACATCCCCTACGTACAATTGGCAGCCTTATCACTAAAAGTAATATTTTCCGGGCTACCTTGGGATGGAGTCTATAGATATCCTAATAAAATTTAAAAGATGAAAAAAAAAATCATTAAAATCACTGAACTTTGAATTCGTGATTATTTCACAATGTTGACAACGTTCATCGAAATTTAACTAAAATCTATATTTTTTTTACAATGTGACGCCATAATATGCTGTATTTTGCTTGAATGATAATTTCAAGTAATAGTGGTTATGTTAGGTATTATCGATCTTGTTTAACATGCCTTAAAGTGGTGACGATAAAATTAGTAAAACTTATTTGAGATAAAATATAGTAAAAACACTTGTTCGATTTACATTAATATTGAATGAATGAAAAATTCTTTATTGTACACCAATGGACAAAAACAAACATATGGATACAATAAATGTGAATGCACAATTGGCGGCCTTATTACTAAAAAGTAATTTCTTCCAGGCATCCTTGGGAATGGTCTGGGTAACCTGGGTTTTCCTTGCCAGATACCAGGTCCCAGACCCTTGTGAGGGTAATACGGGGGGTTTTGTATGCCTGCTGTAGATAGGGGTTCTTTAACCCCCGCAGCAGGAGAGCTCGGGTTCAGTCGGCCTTTCATCAAGGTCGATGGCATGTTACGGTCAGTTCCCCTCGGTACAAAAAAAAGGCATCCTTGTGAACTGAACGAAAATTATATCTAAATTAGATTAGATTAGGGTAACATTATCTACTTCTAAAAAAAAGTACATGCCAAAAAAATTTTAAGCATTAAAATTGTATTAATCATTGATATTTACAAACGAAAAATGTTTTAAAATAATATTTGGATATTAATCCAAACTCTAAACGATTTTAAAATGTCATTAATATCTATTTAAATAAGTTATTTGCGACATATGTCTAATACAGTAGATTTGTAAGTGTAGTGATGCTTAAGATGGCTAACTGTTTTTCAGCCCTCGCACGTTAATAAAAAAAATATTTTTATAAAGCGAGGGCTCAAAAACATTGAACATCTTAGGCACTATCACTTAAGTGGATAAATACGGGGTTACCTACATTCGCTATCACAGAATTGAGACCATCAAAGACATAAGACGTGTCCGTCTAATTTCATATTAAAAACTTGTATTTTTGGTTAGAGTTTGGGATATTTTACTTTGAACGTGTTAAATGAATCATGTTTGTTTTATACTATCTCTCTTGTTTGGTTAAGGAATTCTCTTGTTTTTTCCTTTAAGATTTAATATTATGATATACTATGCGTACGGTATTGAATGATACCTACATGCGTTGCTTGATGAACATTGCGAATTGTGTAATATGTATTATCTTATCAAGTTCGTTTACATTTGACATTCAACTTTCATTTTTAACATTCAAGATAGAATTTTCGTTGTATTCCTGAAACATAATCTAGTTCTGCTTTTATTCGAAAGATTATACAAAAATTACACTTGGAGAATATAGATTTGTAGGTTTCGTATAATTTAAGTTAAAAGTAAAATATTTACAAAATTTTATTATTTTACTATGCTATGAATAAAACTATACTAATTATAAATATCCCCCAAATAATGATTAAATCTAGCTACATAGGTATCATCTAGTAAGCTTATTACATTTTACAGTTGATACTTAAGGTTTGCATTTCACTTTCACATCCTAACGATATTGACATTGAACACGATACTAGAAAGTATTTTTTGATTGTGTTCTCACTAGAATCAACTTATCGTAGCATAGCGATAATAATATTAGCGTTACCTTGATATTGAAATTTGAAGAATACGTACCGTAATCCTTTACCAAGATAAGGTATGTCGCAACTGCTGCTATTTTAAAAGTATGTTTTTCTTTATTACAGACGCAGATGAGCAGTGATCGTGCCGGATCGCAGTGCGGTCTGACGTCGCTGCTGCCGATGTCTTGCCGCGGCCGTGCAGCGGCATTTGCACGCGATCTCCATTCGCGTCTCCGCAACCTTGGAGCTTCGCAAGACGACGATTGCGAGAGCAGTTGGCTCGCGCGCGACCAAACACACCGACCGACCACCGCAGGTCAACGCGATCTCGACACGTTCTACGACTTTGAGCTCGAATGCGAGAGTCCATCTAGCCCCGTTGACGAATTCGATGCAGCATTTCCTGATCGTTCACCCACTGATGAACAGGAACCACCTTTCTACGATGTCGAGTCAGATCCTGAAGTAAAGGAACAAGCAAAACTTATGCTACAACAACCTGACAAACACAAAAATGGTTTCAAATTCTCCACTGTTTTCTTCACTGATTGTCCACCAGTTAAACTTCAACCGGCTCCAAGAGAAAATGGTCATGGTGATAAACCATTATTTTCACCGATTACTTTTGAAGGGTGTGCACGACACAATAGCTTTGATGAAGTAGATAATGTCTCACCATCATCAACTTTAGTGGAAACGGATAGATTAAGCTTACCAACAAATCAAGGAACAACATTGGACAGTGATTCAGAATTCGAATCCGCTAAAAGTGACCCTTCAGATGGTGTTGATGAAGTTTTGCAAAATGATAGTCGCTTAGATAATGATGTTACTGAGTGTGTTGAAAACTTATCTCTAACAGACGTAGAAATTCCAATTGAAGAAGAAACATCGGCTGTTATAACAGATAAGCAAAGTTCAGTATGTAATGGAGATATTAAAGAGCCTTTAGAAATTGTAACCAGTGAAGTTCTCGTCGATAAGGAAGTTTCTCCTATACCTGATGTCGAACCAACACTTTTGAAAGTTGAGGTGCATGATGAGGAGGATGACCGACCACAGCGAGTACGTCGTTGCTCTTCTCTGAAAACAGGAAAGACGCCGCCAGGCACGCCAGGTCGTAAAAAAATTGTTCGATTTGCTGATGTTTTAGGCCTCGATTTAGCCGATGTTAAAACTTTTATGGATGAAATTCCAGTCATCCCAAAGTCTGCATATGATGATCTCACAGGCTGTGATGTACAAAGCTCACCTCCAGTGCGCAGTGTGCCGCGCTTGGGTGCCCTAACACTGGTTCCCCTTTTCCAATTGCCAGTAGACGTCACAGAAAAGCTTGAAAGGTTAAACGTGTGCCTAGAAAGTGCGCGAGTGTGTGATGGTGTTCATGTCACTATATGTGGGTCAGTAAGAGTGCGCAATTTAGACTTCCATAAGACCGTACATATACGGTATTCAATGAACCGTTGGAAAACATACACCGACTTACAAACAACTTATGTTCAGGGTTCATGTGATGGGTATTCAGACCGTTTTCAATTCGTTTTGTATGCACCGAGCATAACGTCAGGCCAGCGCCTCGAATTAGCTGTACGATTTCAATGCAAAGGGCAACAATTTTGGGATAATAACAGTGGGGCTAACTACAGTTTCGATTGTTTGGCATTAGGTGCGAATAGCCTAGGGTGTTCGCCTCCCGGACCTCTACATCCGACAGTAGACTGGCATCCATCGTTCTACTGACCCGGCACAGTATCACCGGACAGGTGAATAAGGTAGCCGAGATGAGGGTCTCAGCAGCAGCCCGGTGGCGGGCGCAGAAGCAGAAGCCGCAGCTCTAACGCCCGTCACTGGTGACATTCCTGTGCCTGTTTCTAATGATCAGGAGAGTGGACAAGATAATAATGGTTCGTTGATGCTTCAAGATTGAAAGCGTTTTTGTGATATAATGTAGTTTAGTCGTAGATTAATACTACAACGAGCGTGCGACTCGTTCCGAGTGCCATTTGCAATACGATGTTTCGATTAATAACGTACAGTAGACTATGTATTTTCGAATTTTGGTTATTAGTTGTGTGGAGAGTCGTCCTAAAGGACAATAAATATGCCGACAAGGCGCGGCGTAGTGTTACTGTGTCTGTACATACACAGAGCGGGCTGCCGACAGTTCCCTTGTAACATAGTGTGACAGATGAATTTGAATGATATTGATATTTTAATATGAATTTTACAATCTATTAGTCGTGTAAAATAATGTTTGTTTATGTGCAAAAGCATCACCTACGTAGTTAGATGGTTTTAATCACAAAATGTTTTATACGAATTAGGTATTGTAGTCATAAAATATTCCTGAAGACATTAATTATCATCCCATCCTGTTAGATAGTTATGATGTGTCATAAATGTTTAATATTAGGTAACTCCTTGTGTAGGAGGTTGGAATTAAATGAAGTGGATTCCTTATGAATATTTAAATAGCTAAGTCCCTATGCGAAAAATGTCTTTATTAACTGTTTTATATTATCACATATTATACTGATGTTATGTCTAATTATATTTTATATTTTTATATAATATAAACATTAATTCATGACATATTTTCCTACACAAGAACTGATATATAGTCATAATTATTGTTTCAGTTACAAGAATTTTATCAACAAGACTTTTAGTGATATCTAAATTATTAATACTTTTAAGCAATATAAGAGAATAACTATTTATTACACAGTTTTCTATTGTATATGTACCTGAATTTTTATGTGGCCATATTTATTTTATAAATTGATTCGTAAGAGCGCTGTCCTATCATATTTATATAATAATGATGATATTATTGTTACAATTGACACCTGTTTTATTCAACAACTACCTACCTAATAAATGAATACTTATAATTTTATTCATTGACTTTTATTGTACCTCCAAAAAGCATATCTTGGAAATTTTGAATATCTAATTTATGTACTTATTTTACTCAATACCCTCTTTGGTTTTGATACAGATAATTTAGGTTTGTGCCAAATGATTATTTTGGGTAGCAGTGCTTTCAATGACAAATGTTTAACTGTGGTATGTGTATCTATGTATACTGTGTCTGTATGTTATGTTTTACAGTGTTCGTTGAACGAGCAATGTGCATGTTGATTTTCGCATTATATACATTTACCCTGTGTTTGATATTATCTGAAATATTATATGTTGAAGTACTCATTTAATGTATCTGTCTTGTGCGGGTGTGATTTTTTTTCCTATTCATATTTATTTTTAATAATTAATCAAAAAAGTTAGCTATATTTATAACTTGTAGAACTCCGAAATGGGCTCAAGTTACTACCGTATCACAATATTACAGAAAGTATTTGTATTGAATTGAATTTTTAAATAAGTTGTGGAGTTCCTGAATAAATAAATAAAAAATTACAAAGGCTAGTATTAAATGCATTATAAAATATCAATGAATTGATACAAATTGATATAATTCACATTTTAATAAAAAAAGCGTGTAGTACATGCAATTAAAACAAGTAAGATTCAACTGACAATTTATTTTTAAGGCGAAACATATCACATTTATTGGATGATATTGAAATAAATATTATTAATGTTATCATTAGCACTTATATATTAAACATGTTTACATTTCAAATATAAATATTATAAAAATATACTTAGCGCAGAGAAAGTTATCTACGAGTCTCACCTTCGCATTAATAACTTTCTATATCGATCAGGCAACGTAAGTGCTTACTTAATTGTTTGTTTTTGTTTATATTAAATTATCAGGTTGGTAATCATTAATTTTTAATAATTGCATATTTCCATTTAACTACATAAGTAACCAATTTTTTTTTTTTATTTGGCTTACGTAAATCGATATGTTCGTCCGAGCTTCGCGTAGTGTATCATTTCTTTGCCAAAAGTAGGAATTAAAAATGGCATTCCTGAAATGAAATTTTATAATAACAAATAATATAAATAAATAATAAGGGTTGTATCCAACTCACTAACTGTTTGTTGGTAAACATACTATATACACACAAGAATGTATGACATTACTTATTGATATTTGCTTTGTGGTCTTGATTATATTTCATTCAAAACACATTCATATTAAGATATACTTAATTCGGAAATAAACAGAAACTGTTTTTGAAAATGTGTATTCACATTATTTATTTATTTACTTTGAAAAACGAATACCACACGAACCCAAAACAGAAAATAATTTATTTATAATGACGTTACATTTACAAGTATTCAATAATATTTTTTACTCTTCATGAAAACAAAACAAATTAGGCATTCTATAAATCAAGTTATTCAATTATAATTGCATATATTAAAAAAGCTGAAATAAGGACCTTAAAATTAAAATAAAATTCTAAGTACTTTGACTAAGTTCTATTATCTAAGTAATACTATCTTTATGTACATTAATTATTTCTTTTGAAATATCAATTCAATTTTTAATCAAAAAACAACAGAACAACATCGCATCGATAAATTTTACGTAATAATAAAAAAATGTTTCTTTACAAAATGATAACTTAGGAAATATGAAATCTTTATTTAAATCATTCCTATCACATACCTACTCTTCTATTATTAATAAAATTAAAATGGAATTTAATAAAAACAACTAATGTTTAAACATACCTCTAAAAATATTCGTTCGTATATAATTTTGATATTAATCTCCTTAATTATTTTTGCAATAAAAGTAATTGATGATACAAATTATATCTATGTCATGGCCATAACGTACAATTGATCATATCATGATCCTGTCGGCCATTTAATGAAACGGTTGTATTTCATGAAATGGAAAAAACTTGCTGCCAACATCATAATGTGGCCTGGCCAGATCAATGGCGATCATATCATTAACATAGGGAGTACAAAAAAAAAAAAATGTTTTTGCTGAAATAGCTTCTTTATACGTTAGCATTATAATTATGTGGTGTGAAAAAAAATTACCTTGAAATTTCATACGCTTCGCGATCGTCTTCAATTTTTATTCTACCCACATTCTACGTAGTGAATCATATAGAAAATTAGTTTAATTCATATCTCAAAAACTTTTATATTCTCCAATATATTTATATCATCCTCTGAAGCTAGATCAAAATCCTGTCTTTATCATAGTCTTGTGACATATTCATATAACCTTTGCCGCCGCATCTTCACATTACAATTATCTCACTAAACTTAATCAAGTAAGTAATTATTTGCCGTTGCTTAGTCACCCCATTTTCTTTAATTTGTTATCATAAAAAATTAAAATACATCATGCATCACAAAAACAATGCGATATTAGCGCCTCTTACTGAGACTAATGTAGTTAGCTAATTTACGATACGATCACTAATGCTTGGCCGTATCATGAAGCAGTTATACATGAGTCATACGATCAGCCGCTCATATCTTTAAACGCAAATTATTCATTGATCTATCTAGGCCGCATCACATGACATGGGCAGCAAGTTTTTCCATTTCATGAAATACGAAGATTTCATGAAATGGCCGGCCGCATCATGAACTGGTCAATTCTACGATCTGGCCACGATACATCAATATTTGGACCACTCGGTCTACTTTTTATACAATCATAGCATAAACATGTCTAATATTTCTTACTATAAACAGACAATACAAAATTAAAAAAACTACTCACTTAACTATATAAATTACAGGAGGTTTTAATAAGTTTCAAGCATCAACAACTACCAGTATAAGTCATACGATAGATTATCTTGTTATTTAATTTTGATGTTGTACACAATATTTACTTATGTCACGCGATACAAAAGGAATACCTGTGCAGCGGTCATTTTAACATCAAGATATCCACGTTGTAAATAAGTCGGAATGTACGCTTATCGTGGAAAATTTATAAAATATCTATAAATAGTAAATATTAAAATAAACATATACAATTCAGTCGGTCGCCATATTTACAAACACCCACTCTCTCCGATAATGTGATTCCGATTAGGTATCATTCTCAAGCAGGAGTGATTTAGGTATCAAATTCAATAAATGTGCTTATGTGTATTGTAATTGACTTCAGAACTTTAAAAAAAGGTGTAACTTTTATTTGCTATATTTCATAACAAACTTTGATTATACAACAAAAACCAGATCATCTTTTACATACCTATATTTCTCAATATCTCTATCTGCTATACCATTTGTTCCTTATTTTTCATTGAATAAAATAAAAATTGGTCACAAACACGAGTCTAGTGAATGAACCTATAAGAGAAATATCGATTTTCAGCCTTTATTTACAAGAATTGAAATGGATTCGGACATCAGTCAGTAGCCTCGAAAATAGCTTTAAAAAACTTGAGACGGACAATTTGTTTATCAAATTTACAAAATATTTTAATTGTAAATCAACTGTCGTCTCAACATTCAAAGCGCTTAATTGAATGTCCATTCTTACTACATATTAATATTTGTGGCATCTATACGGCTGTTATAAAACTAAGAAAGAACTAAAGTCTACCGAGTCTCCTTTGCGCTCTTCGCCTCCTGAGCGTGGTGGTAGTGGGAAGTGTTAACGCTGGGTCTCTTAATGCTCGCAGCTGTATGTGCAGTCGTTGCTTACAGAACTCGTAAAACTCGATCTCTCTCGTGAAATTCGCACGAACTATTTGCTTAACTGCTTCGGATACGGGGGGCTTGAATGCGTTCCGATTGATTCTGTTGAAAGTGTTGAGTTCTTCTGCAAATAATAAATTAAACAATAAATATACACGAACTCTCCATACATGATCACATTTTATTATATATCAATAATATTTAACCGTTTTCTTCCTTTTCACATTCAACCAGTCCTACATAAGTGGAAGGTCTCTTTGAAGATTAACTAGTTCCGATCGATAATGTAATAAGAAAAATTCAGATAACTGAACACGGAATGTCTACGAGTAGTAATAGTAACCTAAAAAACTACTGGTCCATATAAGCGATTATAATATATATCTATCACGATAAAACATAAGCAAAGTATTGTCTGTGAAACTATTGCTTATAATAAAAGGGATGGCGCATCATTTAGTAGCTTGTCAATAGAAACTTTGAGATTTAAAAATTGAAGTATCTAGGTGTTTAAGCTCCGTAGTTCTAATAATATCGTTATCTTACTTCTTATTATAAATCTTCTCTTGAATTCATAGACCATTTCATAATAATAATAATTTAATATGCTTTATGTGGAATTTGAAATAGATGGCTTTATGTGGAATTTGAATCACGCTATCATTTGTTTTTCAAATAAGTTCATTCGACTGTCATTTTAATGCATAAATCTTTAGATCTGCTCCTGTTTTATTAAAAAAAAACCACAAGCCGATGTAATAAAGTACAAACTCGGGAGACAGATAAAATTTCCAATGTTCTGTCATAAACAGAATAAAAAATATCCACTTTTTCTATCTTCTCTCACTAAAATAAACAAGTCCATTTGACTCCTTGTTATATGACAACATGCCTTTAAAATATCAATTGTTATATAAAAACTAGTCGGCTTCTAATGATCGGGGTTACTGACGGATAGCTCATGATATATCTCTGGTTAGATCTCTTTAGATTTATTATAAATCTATTTTGTTATTAATTATAGAATCTACCTGATTGTTGTTATTTCTTTTATGTTACCGTTATCCTATCGCTACATTTCTTACTTTCATTAGTACCAGCAAAATACTTTCATTGCATTTGCTAAAGTAAAGTAAGAGGCACTTTTAGGCACTTTCTTTTTAGTAGCAAGCAATATGCATTAGCTCCATCAGTGAGACTTAAATACTTATAATGTTGCCACAATGGGACAACCCAAATTGCTACTAGTACGCGTAGCGTGACAAACTCAAGAAATGTTTTGTCTACATCTAATATTACTTTTGTCGTGTCATGAGAGAGATATCGTATGGACGTAATCTAGAAAAGTGACATTTGGGTGTAGAAAAAACGTCACGCTACGTGTGCAGGTTTACATTAATGAAAACAGATAAAATAACCAGTTATTTTATAAATACCAGATGGTACATTCCAAACAGCTGTGCACGATGAAATATACGTATCATATCCTGACATGAAATTGTTATTTACTATTTGGCACAGTTTTTCGCAAAACAAGCTCATTTTCTATTTGTCACGAGGTGAAGAAAGCAGTAAAAGTTTCTTAAAATATATTATGTTACTCTCTTTAATATCACGATTATTTTAAAAATCCGAGAATATATCTACCCGACTGAAGTTTTCAAACTTTTGTAGTTGTGGCCAAATATTATGTAAACAAACTGTCATGTTGTGGCATTTTGCCATGCCATTTCCTACAGTAATTAGTTGCAGTTTAACAGTAAATGCATATGGTTGCAATATTATATTGCTTAGGTATAACCGGTGCTAATCTAGCGTAAATCTTTTAAGGTAGTTATGGGTGTGGATGAATGAGCTTTTATACATACACGACAGGCATACTTACAACGTTAACATAGATAGAAGAATGTCAAATTTTCATGATCCATTGAGGACAATATTTTTATTGTATCCGGCATCCCAATGAAATAATAATATAAAAAAGCTTTGTAGCGACTAAGTTTTGTAGCGACTAGCTTTTTAGATCCGTTTTTATGATTATCATCATCAGCCCTTTTACGTCCCCACTGCAGAGGCTCAGGCCCTTCTTATGGATGATTAAGGAGGATGGGCCATGACCCTCCACGCTGGCCCAATGCAAATTGGAGGGTATTAACGACTGCAAATGCAGCTGGGACCAACGGCTTAACGTGCCTTCCGAAGCACGGAGTAGCTCGAGATAATAATTTTTTGGTCACCCATCCCGTGACCGACCCTTGTGAAAGTTGCTTAGCGACAACGATCGAAGGCCGCGGCGCTTATCCACTACGCCAACGAGCTACTCCGTTTTCGTTTTTATGAAACTAACAATATATTGAGACAAAAGTTTAAAATAAAAATATAATAAAAAGTTTTTTAAGAACAAGTTTTTATTTGTGCACATTTATACGTAAAAAAATAAATTCTAAACATTTAAAGTACTTATAATCAAAATTTGCTCTAACCGTAATGGACTTCAAAAGCTTGTAGAGCTAATGAAATCGGAGACGAGGAAATATTACGCATATTATTACGCGCTACAACTTTTTCAAGTCATTTATTGTTAGAGAAGATTATAAGTATTTGTAGAATTTATTCATTTACCTTTTAGAACGCACAAATAAAAGCTTATTTAAAAAATTTTTTTTTCCTCTTCATTTTTGTCTCAATATATTGTTGTTCTTATAAAGACGAATCTAAAGAGCTTAAACACGATGCAGTAACGTTATTTCATTGCTGAGTTCCTATGACCACCTTCTAGCTCCATCATCATCAGACCAAGGTATGGTTCAGTACCAAAGTCCTCTTAAAGACGGATCTAACGAACCCAAATACGATGCACTTGCGTCATTTCATCACTAAGTTCCTATGACCATCTTTCGACTTCATCATCATATCAGCTTACTGACACCACAATAATGCATTGTCATCTGACTTACGTTTCTATGCAAAAATTCTATCGGAAATCGGGTACAAGGCAAGTAAAAAAAACTATTAAATAAAAACTTGTAAAAATAAAAAAAACAAACGAACAAGAAAAAATATACTTAATTAGATACACCCGTAAATATGATCAGTTTGATTACTTTTCTAGTTTAAAAAAATCAACAAAATTAACTCTGTAGCTTAGGGCCCAAATTTACAGGTCCTATACCATGTACGATGGTTAGCGTGTCATATAAAATATAGAAAATAAGCTGTTTTCTTCGTACTGCGTAATTTTTAATTTAAGTCACCAGCATATGATGTGACTTCCCGTAGGTGAAAGAATTTTGTCATGCTAGACGTGCTGCACGTGTAGCATGCCAAACTCGAGAAACGCTTTGTCTACACCCAAATGTTATTTTCTCCGAGAAAGCGCATCCGAGAAAAGTGACATTGAGTGTAGACAAAACGTTCTCGAGTTCGTCATGCTACGCGTGCTGTAATACGGAGCCTATTCGATACAAACAAACACGGACATCTTATCTAAACCATAATAATTAGATACAGACTCAGTACGACTCGGTTTTTGCTAAAAGACTGCATCGAGCCGAGACCAACAGTTGTTTTCCGAAAAATCTGTCTTGAGTAGATTTTTCGTCACCGATATTCCAATCTCAAAAGGAATATTTAACTGATAATCGCGAGGACAATTAATTCTTTTATTTCTTTCTATTTTATATTTGATATAATACAGCGCTTAAATAAATCAAAGAGGAGATCAATAGCACAGTAGTTAGCGCATTCAATCTGCGATGAGGAGGTTAACACCCGTATTCACAATCAATATTTATGTAAGTAACGTACAAATACTATGCGAAGTGAGGCACTTCTCAGTGCGATCTTTATACAAAACTATTTAATTCCTAAACAATATTTAAACGACACTTCACTATGCGAACGCACTGCGTTGGATAGAGCTCTGTGATTAGTTCGTTTGTGTTGCATAGTTCACTACGCTCTGTCTGACTGACGTTTCATGTTAAAATTTATTATAATATATTTATTTTAACCTAAAGCATTTACAGTTTTTTAATTAAAATATATGTTGTGGTGGTTTATAATAAATAATTATGGGCATACTACGCATTTACGTTCATCACGCACAACTGCCAGATTAGTAGGGATATTGCAAAATAACTTTTGCAAATGCCGGTTATAGGGTGGTTCACTTAAAATTTTGATATCTCGAGTATTCCGTGCTTAGGAAGGCACGTTAAGACATTGCTCCCGGCTGCATTTGTAGTCGTTATCTTTATTCACCCACCACACACGCATGAGATTAAGTATTCTTACTATTTGTCGGGATGTTCCCAACACTAGTTATTACATAAGGTATAAATAGCTGAGCAATGTATCCGCGCGCTCTCTCTTTCACTGTATACTTCACAAGACGCACGCGTCTCAGTTTGTTGTTGACAATAATAAACCTCTTCATTATAATATACCAGCATTTTAATTACAAGTCCATTAACGGCTCCACATGGTCCTTCGCAAGGAAAACTTAATCAAGAAGAGACTTCAGCAACAACTGCAATTTGAAGGCAAGAGTAGCAAAAATTTTGAAATTGGTCGTGAGAAATAAGTAGGTACAATCTTACGCACGGCTGAAAAAATCCACGCGCGTGCGGACTGCAGTGCATGGCAACAGATCTACACCGTGCGGTGGGAGCGGGGGCGAAGGCTGCACACGAGGCGGACGACGCCTGTACCGGCCGAACTACCTCGCGACCGGGCGACCGCGCGAGCCGAGCGGGCGGGGGTGCATCACTACCAATACCACACCATTTCGACGCGAGGCGAGCGAGCGTACGCGCATATGCACGAAGTTAAAAATAATTTGTCACATAACATCGCGAGTTACGATCATTGTACTAAGTGTTATTTAATAATTAATTGCTTAAGTTTAGTGTTCGATTTAGAATATAAACGTAGTGTGTTTACGTACGGACAATGGAGCTGGCAGAGTTAATTAGTGCACGAAAATATACTAAAGGTAATATCACCCGTTTACATAATTGGTGCAATCAAATTGATGCAGAAAAAATAACTTTAGAAACATTAAACGTAAAAAGATCTCGTTTAATAGAATGCTTTAAAGAATACGAAAGCTATAACATAAAA